TAAGTAATATTATTATCTCTATTTACAGGTGAGGAAATTTAACCACGAAGTTTTTAAGCAACTTGCTCCAAATCATACAAGTACTAAAGTTATTTTTTAATATTTTTTCATGTAAACATTATCACGATAGGTATTTTGTATATGGATATTTTGGTGCAGGTTTTGCTTATTTTCTTGATTTATTTTCCTAGAAGTGGAATAACTGAATATGACAGGTACAAAGTATATGCATTTTTTTCAATCTCCTGAAATCTTCCACAGACTATTAGATGAGAATAAGTTTCCAACAATTCTGGCAGAAAGGGGAAATGTTCTTAATCAAAATAAATCTCAACAAATCTCTGAAGCCAAGGGATTAGACACTCACACTTGGGTGTGGCAGGTGTTTGTAGGTGGATTTCCTGGCAAATATTAAAAGTAGGCCCACCCTTGCACGTGACAAAATTTTTTGAGAATATGGTGGCAACTGATATGGAAGTTCCTATAAGAAGTAACATTACTAAGGGGTAACATATTATTTATTTATATATTTTGGAGTTAAGGGAGAGTGAGCGATGGCAAATCTGTGCTGCTTTCTATATGAGGACACAGGTAGTTCAGCTAAAAGAGTTCTGGAAAGAGTTTTATAGATACCAGCAATTTGATTAGAGTCTAAAACACTAGCATGTTTTCAAGGAGGTAGCAAAAGTAGGAGAATCAAAGTATAGAAACAAATTCTGAAACTAGATTGCACCAGGGCTTGAGCAAAGAAAGGAAAAACTCATTCTTATAAAACACAAAAAGACAGAGAAAGAAGCAGCAAGCTTCTTTGTTTATAATAGAATTTATTGAATTGGCTTAAATTTACTCTTCCCAAACATTTGACTACTCTTAAAGTTCTATCTTGGGGTGATGGGCATACTTATAACCATGATTCAAGCATTAGAAGAGCAATCCATGTAACCAAAATATTTATACCCCATAATACTTCAAAATAAAAAAAAAGTGTCAAAAAAGTTCTATTCTCAGAAAAGTTATAAATTAGCATGCTATTAAATCAATCAGAGGGCTATTTAAAATCCAGATTCCTACAGCACACTTCTAAGCTTTGCCTTCAGTGTACCTGGGGAGGGATCTTTTAAACTGGCTTCCTAAGTGAGAATGAGTGGGGAAGTTCACAGACCACAGTCTAAGAGACAAAATTCTGCCACCTAACTCCCAGGGAAATTTGTTGTGCTACCATCTATATGCTTTCTCTTTTTTTTTCCCTTTACTCATACACAATCATATCTTTTACTAACTTACTTTTGTTAAATAGATAGGTAATTTTAAATTTCTCTTGGAAATAATAATATAAAAATGGACATAATAATTGCAAATATTTTAAAACATTTCTTATTTTCATGAAATAATTAACTTAAATCAGAATTCTTTAAAAGATATGGACACTTTTATGACTAAGACATATATGATCAACTACCTCCAAACATAGGAGCAATTTATACTCTCATCAGCTATTTAGGAAAGTGTATAACTCCCTTATGCTCAAAAGACAATTTATAATTACATATTTTAGTATTTTCTTCATTTTGTCAGGCTCTTTTTTGCTACCACAATGGGTCCAGTCGTCATCTGTGGCATATGTATCTCACTCTGTAAACCTGTATCATGCTCTTGCTCTATAATTCTATCTTTTTCTCCTCAATAAACCTCATTTTCATACTTGCCTGACTCTGGTGCATCTGGTCATTCTTTGGCCATCAGCACACCAAGAACCGCCATTTCAGACTGTGACCTGACAATTTCATTTGATAAAAATATGACTATTTATGTTTAATTCATTTGCTTATTATTGTCATCAACTATGTTATCATGTGTTTATTAGTTTCCTGAAATGTAACTTTTTATGTATACATAATTTAGAATTTATAGAAAAGTTTCAAATCAGTGCAACTTTCATATAATCTTTACTCAGATTCACCACGTTAATATTTTGAGCTAATTTCAATTCTCCCTTTCTTCACATATGCATATATATGATTACACACACACACACACACACATGCACACACTTGCATATTATTATCCCTGAATTGCTTCAGAGTTATTTTTGCTACCATGCTTATCCCTAAACATTCCAGTAAAATCCATGGATATCCAACTACTCTTTGGTTGTAGATATAATTTAATTCAATCAACAATCTG